TACTTACTTGTCGGAAAGCATTTTGTTCCCACCTGCTATGAGGTTTTCAAAAATCAGCAAATAAGAGTTCCATGAGTAAAATTGTCGTCTGAGACTATGTGCTATTTGTTTAGTGCGGTAACATACAGTATGCATTTCCTTACACCACATGAAAATGAAACACTCCGTGTTAAAATGCGAATGTTGCTAATGATGTGCTGTCATGAACAGTGGCCACATTCGGCTGGTGCTTTCACAAAATAATTCTTTTCTGTAAATGTTTCTGAATGATTCAACTGGTATCAAAAGCACAGAAATGCAATTACTTTACAAACTTCATGCAGGTTTCTCACTGATGAGTAAAGAAGCATAAAACATTGCGGAAGCACTTGAATGGCAAATTGCTATTGGATGGTATCGTGGGTAGTATGGGGAAGAAAATATACTCAAGTACCAGTATTCTGGTTAGGTGATTGTGCTGCTTCAAAAGATTTTCCAAATTGATTGAAATTTCATGATGTGTGATTTGCAATAGGAATTACCGCAAACTGCGGAAAACCAGGAAAAATACACAAACCATCCCCTTTTCTTTGCTCCTAGTTTTTTTGTTACAGCACAACATTTTATCTTCCTCCCCGGGAGGTTCCTCCGTTGTAGGAGAACCACTGTCTCAGGCTGCATTCGAATAGTCAAAAAAATTACATCCTATTGTCTAATTCCGAACAAAGTTTCTTCAAGCTCGATGGAAAATATCATACGGTAAAGGAAAGGTGTAAAGGGGAATTAATAATGGCTTAGGAGGCTGCCGGATAGCTCACTCGGTAAAGCATTGCGTTGCGAAGCAGAAGTGATTATCACGTCGCGGGTTCAAGCCCCGCTTCGTACCAGCCGGCAGCGGTCGGCAGCTTTTTCAGATTAGCGCACAATTGGCTATAGCGCTACAGGGTTGCAAATTGGGAAGGGACTGCCGGAAGGGATTACAATAGTTGCCTTGTTCGTTGCTCAAGCACCTCCTGTTGGCCAGACGGGCGCTCGTCAGGAAGATTCTAAGCCTGGTCATGTCCGGGTATCCTCCGCCCTCGTTCTGAACTTGCGAAGATTCAACCAATGAGTGTATAAGAAGCGGTGGTTGACAGGCGCGTGCTTCGGAGGAGAGCCGCGAACTGCCTACACTCTCCTGAATTGGCAGCAGGGGGTCGCATACAAGCAAGCCTTGTACATAGTTCACCAATTGGGCATTCCAGATTCGGGTGGGATTGGAGATGCCAAATTTAAAAAAAAAATAAATAAATAAAATAAAATAATGGCTTAGGAAGGCAACCGCGCTAATACAAGAATCTGAGTGCTCGTACGCTAGGCAACGTCATCACGCATCCCTTGCCCGTCATGTTTGATTTTGTAATTGGCCGGATGTATGGTCATCGCTCCAAATATTGCTGCCACACAGTATTGCGGGGCGGCGTTATCACCTTTCTTTTCGTAAAGGATAGTTCAGTGAACCCTATGCTAGAGTTGATAAGTTAGGAAGCATTGAAGCACCTTTCCTATACGTTTCGAGAATTCAAATTCACTGATCATGACAGCCATGCAAATAATTCTGGGTCACTTTCTTGGAGAAAGAAATTTTCCTCAGCAAAAAAGACTATTGGAACGCAGCCTGGATCTCACAAACCCGTTCGACTAGGAGACTTGCAAACATGAACAATCTGTCACTGCGCAGGTGGGAGAAGAACATTTTTTACTTGTTAGCAACTACCAGTCGGATATAGCCACCACAAGCATGCTCACCGTTTGAACAAGCTGATAATCTGAGAACCATGTGTAGCCCGTGGAATTGGATGCCACACAGGACACATTTACGTCTGGGGTTCTTATAGCTTAAATTTATTACTGGCCACAATTTCAGCTTATAAAACAGAGTGTACCAGTCCTTCAGAGCGCACAGCTTGCTCTTGCAACAATTTATGGCAGTCTAACACAAATAAAAAAAAAGGAAAGTAGTAAATAAAATAAAATTAAAAATAAAATACGGCAGTGGGCTAACGCTAATGACATAAAATATAACATATCTCATGTTAAATACATATTTTACACCATTATCAGCAACCATAAACTCAGTAAATTGACCGGTGAATGTACAATGCATTTTTTACAGCACACTTACATTCAACAAGTTCCACCGAAACTCACGCGGGAATTCTCGGAAAACGGCATTATTTAAGACACTCTCCGTAACCTTCAGACAGAGTTACAAATCATGTAAAACTGGCACATTTCTCTAATAACAAAGTAAACTGCCTCGTGGCTTTAGCATGCTAACATTACCATGCACACGAGAACACAGTGGGCGAACGACGGCTGTTCAAAACGTCTGGACCCACACTCCAGTAGTGCCTAAATCAAACCATCCTGTTGCAATATCAAGAAATAATGTATTTTTTACAAGTGTTTACATAGATATTTTCAGGATATATGTCTATTTATCTACTACTTTACACGACGGGATCTCAGCACCGTCTTCTCTGCCTATCTCCAAGTAGTCCATCGCAAAACCATAAAACAAGATCGCAATGTGAGGTCAAAGCTACACTACTCAATACTGCCGTCTTGTGACCAAAATCTGCAACAACAGGTAAACCTGTGCCAGCGCACTTACAATCTACTTAATCCCTTCAACTAAATGGGATTTTTGCACTCAAAAGAAAATAACAAAGAAAACCTTAGTTAACAGTTATTTAACTATTTTAACTATACTAATCTTATCTTTTACTAACTTGAAAACTATAGTGTGGAAAATTATACCTCATTTACCACCCAGCTACACATGGGTGATGTAGTTTCAGATTGCTTCAACTCTTGCATGTTGATAGTAACATTCACTTTCGGGGTGCCAAAGCTTTTCTTTTTTTTTTTTTTGAAAGGGTTCGGAGTGTTCAACCACATTGTCATAGTAAGAAACCTTTAATGCTTTTGACGAGTTTTTTCGATCATAGACCTTAATTTTGCAGATTTTCAAAGACACGCTGACTTTTGACAATGAAGTCAAACAATAGTGCTAACAGGAGGTTGCCGCTTTTTTTGCACATGCGTACAACAAATCAGGTGTCCAGTATGGATCAGGGAGTGACGCCTCCTCTGCCTTCAGGACTGCTGGAGGCGATGTCTCATGTCCTGCATTGCAGAGGGATGTGAGCTTGATGTGTGCTCTTGTCGGGTTGCATTGGGTTGTCTTGTGGCAGTTTGAATTAGTGAGCAAAACCATAACCTACAAAGTTGTTTATTTACATAATCATTGTCTTAACCCTCTTAACCTCATGACTGTTTGAATACCCTGGTACGAAAAGCACTTAACCCCTCTGTGCAGATGAAGAAGCCAGCGGACAGGGAGCTGCTCTATTTATGCACGCAGTTACACTATTCTATCACTAGATGGCACACATGGATCAGTTATTGAATATTCAGTCTAAAGCCAAGCTCGAACATGGTTTAGAATATGGACGAGTTCACTCCCATCCCTGTTTCCCAGGAGTTGCATGAATTAAACTCCTCTACTAAGCCTGATGTGCAAACTGCTCAATATACTTGCCCATAGTATCTATCCAGCAGTTAAAAAAAATGATCTCTTGCAACAGATAAAAATTGTTGTTCTCTGTAGCAACCACTTCAGCTATAGTGAGCCAATGGTATCCCAATTAGTAGTTAAGAAAAATCTGTTTTCTGAAGCAAAAATTCGACATGGTATTGATACTATGTCATTCTACTATCTATTATAGTCATCACATATCAAAAACGCATAGTTCCCTGCCGTGGATTTACTCTTAGATTCCCCCATTGACGAATTCAGTGCTCCCTTATATCCTCCTAAGTACTCATGTTGATAGCCAATCATGCAATTAATTACTTAGGCTCATCTGCATAACGCACAATTATAGTTCACGCCCTCGTGAAACTTCCTCGGTAATTATACATTGATTGACATGTTCTTATCCAATTCCGGAGGGTTTAAACTTTCCACAGTAACTGAAAGACATTGATTGGACAATCAGAAAAGTAAAGAAACCATTGCCCAACAGCAAAGTAGGTTGTATTCTCTTAATGTTGTGCATGATTGCGCAGCTGAAAATGATGCGATTTCAAAGTTAAAAAAGACTCCCAAAACCGGCTTGAAGTGGTCAGTTGCATTTAGGGATTTAAATGAGATAAGGACTTGGTCAATGGGAATTATCTCAAATGAAACAAGACTGGAGGGTTCCTTCTACTCGATACATCTGTGTCTCTGGAGGAGGGATTCAATGACGAAAGGTTTTTTGTTCATTTTATGAGTATTGCAATTTTATATTTTTTTAACTTATAGCTAGCTGTTTTGTATTCTGTATTTACCATGGCCATGATGATCACAGAGCTTGTTTAACACTTTGGTTAGTATTTGCTAATAATAGCTACTGCATGTGGTGGCATTTTTGGTTTTGCCTGATGGTGGAATGTCTGTTCTGTTATAATAAGGTATATTTCAATAATTACTGAGTTAGAGAGTTATACTTTTTCATTTTAACGTGTGGAAAGTGATTTTATAAGGTTGCGAGCTTGGAAGTGAGAACTGCTAGCTTTTCATCACAGGGTGAATGTTCTGACCGTTAAATAAGCAGTTCCTTTAATGAGTATTTATGCTGGCTTGTGGGACTCTGAAGAAAAATGGACAAAATTCTAAAATTTATCATGGAGAAAAGGCATGTTCATTGTTTGGAGAGGTTACTGGTGACCATTGATTTCCAACTGCACCTATATTGATAAACTCAAGCTCAATTCAACCAGAAAATCATTAATTCATATTGAATGTCATGCATCAAAAGTTGATTTGTCTTAAATATATGATTATTTTATGATTTGGTTGTGTGCCATTTTTAGGGATCTTAGAGTTTGGTGAGCCACCTGGACAGCTGTCTTATTTGGCTCCGAGAGAGTTGGTAATTTAGAATTTAATGCTAGAGGAATTATACTTTGGGTCAAGGAGTTTATGAGGAGATGCAGTAGCGCAGTGGTTAGGTAGGTTTGACTTGAGATCAAGAAGTCCTGAGTTTGAGTCTTTGCTACAGCCTTCGCGGTGTGTTCTTGGGCAAAACACTTCACTCCCACACTGCCTCCACCCAACCCTGGATCACCCCCCGTTTCCTATTTTCTTCCTTAAGAGGTCGGGCATTTCTGTGCAGAGCAGGTTCATTGTTCCTGCATTTGCACGCTTTTCGACGCCCCGCTCCAGCACCCAGGACAAGAGGCCAGTTTGCCTCAGCACAAGAGGCCAGTTTGCCCCTGAATAAGAAATTAGGCTCTAGAGATGCCTGGAGTGTCAGTTGGAAGAGAGTCCAACAGTTCGCACCGGCACAAGAAGCCAGTTTGCCCCGGAATAATAGGTTGGGCTCTAGAGACGCCTGGAGTATCAGGCGGAAGAGAGTCCTACAGTTTGACCCAGCACAAGAGGCTAGATCACCCCGGCACAAGAGGCCAGTTCACCCCAGTGCAAGAGGCCAGTTTTCCCCGACACAAGGGGCCAGTTTGCCCCAGCACAAGAGGCCAGTTTGCCCCAGCACAAGAGGCCAGTTTGCCTCGGCACAAGAGGTTACGCTCAAGAGATGCCTAGAGTAACAGGAGGAAGAGAGTCCTACAATTCAGCCCTTGATCCAGTGGTCTACATCCCCTTTGCCTCCAGCAGTCTGCACACCCTACAGCTTCAACAGCCAGTCTCCCCTTGCGGCTACAGCAATCAGCCTGGTGCCCCCTTGCGGCCACAGCTATCCGCCAGGTACCCCTTCGTGGCTCCAGCCGTAAGCCTGTCGCACCGTTGTGGCTCCAGCAGTGAGCCTGTCGCCCTCACGCAGCTCCAGCATTCAGCCTGTCGCCCTCACACGGCTCCAGCAGTCAGCCTGTTGCCCCAGCAGTAAGCCTACAGCTTCGGCAGTCAGCCTGTCTCACCCTCGCGGCTCCAGCAGTCAGCCTGTCATCCCTGTTGGCACTGTAATGCTCCTGTCCTTTGGCATTCCTATGCCTGGCTACCTGCCCTTAGTCAATAATTCTATTATCCTCAGTTCTCCTCAGTTACTGGTTTTGACCTGTTTCCTTTCAGTTAATTAAGACTCCCTTCTATTTAAAGCTAAATTTTTTTGTATCTTTATGGCCAGGTAGCCATAGCCTGCCCCCCTTTTTGTTATCCTTTGTATTTGTTTTAGTTAAATTCACCTTCTTTATTTAATAAAATCCAAGTCCCTGCACTTGGGTCCTCAGCTCCACTCCTTGCCCTGGCACCCTTTTAACATCTCTGGGTGTCCTACAGTTTGACCCAGCACAAGAGGCCAGATCACCCCAGTGCAAGAGGCCAGTTTGCCCCAGCACATGAGTTTAGGCTCTGGAGATGCCTGGCGTGTCAGGCGGAAGAGAGTCCTACAGTTTACCCCGGCACAAGAGGCTAGATCACCCCGGCACAAAAGGCTAGTTCACCCCAGCACAAAAGGCCAGTTTTCCCTAGTATAAGAGGTTAGGCTCTGGAGATGCTTGGAGTATCAGGCGGAAGAGAGTCCTACAGTTTGTCCGGGCATAAAAGTCCAGTTCTCCCCTGCACAGGAGGCCAGTCTGCTCCAGCACATGAGGTTAGGCTCGAGAGATTCCTGGAGTGTGAGGCCGAAGACAGTCCTACAGTTCGCCCCGGCACAAGAGGCTAGTTCTCCCCAGCACAGGAGGCCAGTTTGCCCCGGCGCAAGAGGTTAGGCTCTAGAGATGCCTAGAGTATTAGGTGGAAGAGTCCTACAGATTGCCCTGGCACAAGAGGCCAGTTTTCCTGGGCACAAGAGGCCAGTTTGCCCCGGCACAAGAGGGCAGTTTGCCCCGGCACAAGAGGGCAGTTTGCCTTGGCACAAGAGGTTACGGTCAAGAGATGCCTAAAGTAACAGGCGGAAGAGAGTCCTACAGTTCAGCCCTTGATCCAGTGGTCTACATCCCCTTTGACTCCAGCAGTCTGCACACCCTACAGCTTCAACAGCCAGTCGCCCCTTGCGGCCACAGCCATCAGCCAGGTATGCCTTCATAGCTCCAGCCGTAAGCCTGTCGCACCCTTGTGGCTCCAGCAGTCAGCCTGTCGCACCCTTGTGGCTCCAGCAGTCAGCCTGTCGCCCTCACGCAGCTCCAGCATTCAGCCTGTCACCCTCACGCGGTTCCAGCGGTCAGCCTGTCTCCCCAGCAGTAAGCCTACGGCTTCAGCAGTCAGCCTGTCTCACCCTCGCGGCTCCAGCAGTCAGCCTGTCATCCCTGTCAGGACTGTAATGCCCCTCTCCTTTGGCATTCCTATGCCTGGCTTCCTGCCCTTAATCAATAATTCTATTATCCTCAGTTCTCCTCAGTTTCTGGTTTTCACCTGTTTCCTTTCAGTTAGTTAAGACCTTCTATTTAAAGCTCAGTTTTTCCCTTCATGGCCAGGTAGCCATAGCCTGTCCCCCTTTTTGTTATCCTTTGTATTTGTTTTAGTTAAATTCACCTTCTTAATTTAATAAAATCCATGTCCCTGCACTTGGGTCCTCAGATTCCACTCTTTGCCCTGGCGGCCATTTTCACGTCTCTGGGTGTCAGGGCATGACATAAATCAGGTATTAAATTGCACTTATTTAAGTTTTATCTGAGTGTTAAAGAACTATTCTCAGCCATTGCACCACTTCCACTGCCACTTAACCTTGTGAAAAATTACAGGAAAATACTCCATGCTGTTATCCTCGCCAGAGGTGGTTGCACTGAGTACTAAATGAGAGGTGCCAATTGTTATGAAACCTCGATTTTGTTAAAATTTATTTTGTCAAAAAATGATTGTTATAATTTTGTTAGTTTCGATCGCAACATGAATAAAATAAAGTATTTCACACATGTTGGTATGTTTATATATTTTATATATTTCTCTAAAGTATATTGTTAATTTTTTATCTTTTTATTGTTTGTGCATTGCCATTCAGGGATACCAGTCATTTTGGAGCGCACTGTACCTCAACATACTTATGGGAATGATTTTTTTTGTTCTCATTGTCTACAATAGTATTTAAGTAATATATTGGGACCCCTTTTAGATAAAAGTGGTGGTGTATAATCATCACTGCACACTACTTTTTATATGAATGGGATTTTAGTACAAATGCAGCTTTACTATCCAGGGCTTAAATACTCGTCATACTGGTCATTAGGAAACAAGCGTACAACGAGATTCAGCAAAGAGAAGAGACACACACATGACTTAAACCAATCACTGAATAGACATGCGTGCTGATGACAAAGAGACACTGGGGATTCAGACAAGAGTTGTGACAAATGACCTTCTTAAGGAGTCTCGGTTGGAGTAATTCTCTGTCCTCTATCCTGGTTAAGAGTGGATAATTGAATTAAGTTTAGAGTGATCAGTCTGTGGTTGTAATGAGGCTTTGTCTGGCCTTAGGATGTGGTGCTTAAGCCGTTCAGTACCAAGTTTTTTTTTTTTCGGCGTTGGCACAGGGTTGGTTCTCTTGTCGTTGCACACATTGCATTAAGAAGAAAGCAGCGCGTTTTACTGCTGATTGCTAATTTTTACTCATTGGAAAACTGCTGCCACCTGGTGTTAGAAATTGGAACTATCAAACCTTGAGTTAACTGGGACGTGGCACTGAGACAATCATCTTCTACCCCGAGTGTACTCGGGCGCGGCACTGAATGGGTTAAAGTCCTCTAGCAGAAAGAGGTGTTAGTCCAATGACAGGGAAGACTGGCTGATGACAACCAAAGCCAGGACAGCACACAAGCAAAAAAGGGGGGAATGTAAGATTTTGGACCAAATCCCAAGACCAGCTCACTTAGTGGAAGCATAAGAGAGAACAGATCTTCATGCAAGAAGTAAGCAAATACATGTATTAATTTGTCTTGATGACCTTAGTGAAGCCACAGTTTTTCTCACAGATGTCAATTGTCACTTTGGCCGCAGCCAGCCATTGTGGCAATAGATACCTCTAAAGAAACCTGTGAAAGGTGATTGAGAGGTGTTCTGTTAAGGGAAGATAATCCATGACCACACCTACTTTATTCAACCACATGAACTACCCTCGCTAGATCAATGATGGTATGAATGACTGTTATTTTATTATTGTCTAATCCTCGTCAAAGCTCGGTATCTATATTAAAAATGCTTTCACAGAGTGCTCAGGGTTCATTTAGACTCCACTGAACTAAGCATGCATTACAAATATTTCCTACAACTGCTGTTCCTGTAAATAGAGAAGTATTTTTCTGCAAGTTTCAAAATTGTGCCCTTTTCTTCCTTACACAGCAACTGAAATTACTGACATTGCATGTCCGTAATTAAAACAAAAACATTAGGAAAATTAATCCTGTCTGAATAGGACTTTATCGTGGTTATTTTAAAGTACTTGCTATCACAAACCACACTTAATTTGTTCTTCCCCTGTTCCAGCAGTCTTGGGGGTTGGTTCTGGTAGCAAGTCGATTGGCTCCTTATTGCCGTAGTGCAAACAACTGTAGGCACTGATTGTACAGTGTAGATAGTGTTGGGATTATATTTCAATATTTCTCATCATATTCATCAGTAGAATAATTGCCATGTTGAATAACCATAATCAATAATCATAATCAGTTTCCATATTATGTATGCAGCCGTAACAGACACACACACACACACACACACACACATACACACATACAAGCAGTTCACACACGAGCAGTGCACACAGACACACATACACACACATACACACGCAGCACACGTACACACACACACACACACACACATACAAGCAGTTCACACACAGACACACACACACACAAGCAATTCAATTCACACATGCATGAGCAGCTCACACACACACACACACACACACACACACACACAAGCAGCAGGCTTCTGTAAGTTTGATTAGTAAGCAGGCTTCTGTTTAGTTGATTCAAAAACATAATCAGGTGATGTATTTGATTTCTGTAGCTTTGATCAATATTTGTTCGGTAAAATCATTAGTTGTTACTGAAAAAATATAATCAGTTGAATCATTTATGTATCTACTTGTATCCTATTCATCTGGCTGTATTTTT